AGAGTATACTATTTGTGCACAATTACTGTTCGCGATATTGTTTGCTATATCTGTTACTGCCGAAATTTTTATTTTTTATTAAGTAAAAAAATATAACAGAAAATATCTCTAAAATTAAGTGCATACGATATAACTTATTTGGAATTATATAGCACTGGAATTATAAAAAAGAAATTGAAGTGTGTATTTTTTTGTATATTTAAATTAAAACGCGTACCGTATTTTAACTAAAGTATTCTCTATATTTCCAATTTTATAAAAAACTTGGAAATATTGCACACATAACAATTAGCGTTATAATATTAACGGATTAATAAAAAGAGTTATGAACTTCTCCTTATCGTTATGTTAATAGCACTTTGTTTTAATTGAAAAACGAAATAGCATTATGTTGACATATAAAAAAAGAACCTTGTTGATGATATCTATTCCAAATAACGTAGCAAGACCCTCGCACAACCAATGGTAAGACCACCAAGATGCTGGGTTCATTCGAATATTTAACCACTGATGTACCATTTCGCGTGCTATTAAATGCGCTATTTGTATTTTGTGCGCAACGGAATCTACTTCATCATCATAGATAATAGCTGTTTCCCTAAAAACATTTGTTATAATACGATTATGTCCAGTCTTTCCTACAGATATGTTTATCAACAAATAATTAATAAGTAATCTATAAATAAATAATAAATATGTAAATGCTAACAATTCTCTATTTTATTCCAATATATTAGTTTATGATGTAAAATGATTTGTAGCAAGTATTTTTCATTTAAAAGGACGAAATAAATTGCGACTTGAGAAGTTTATATTTATCTCATAAATATTATTAATCATATGATGACCTTCAAGTGTTAAATAAATTTTGCTGCTATGTTTAATAGTTGTTTAGAAAATAGCATATATTAGTGAAATAACAAACATTTTAAAATTATATGACTTTACTTTATGTATGTAGATACATAAGAATAATACACACATAAGACAAAATAATAAGAAAAAATCATATTTTTTGAAATCATAATGTAGTGTTTCTAAGTGTGCGCATTTATTTATAAAAAATGTCTTGAAATAAAATATAATGTAATTTACTTATTAATGTACTTTACATTACCGTATATATTTTTTTTAAATATTAATACTTTATTATTCGTTTTACTTTAATTATGTGCATTACCTATAAAAAATGAGTTTCCATTTTTTTATGCTATTATGTAGAAGACTCGGAATCAGGACATGTTGCACTGTCGAAACGTCTTCCAAATATTCTTTAGATGTCGTATTTTTATTAAAGAACAGTATAATATGTGCAATAATGCTCCTCGCAAACTTTAGTTGCGGTACCAAATTTGATCTGCACCATATGTTTATCCCGACTTTTTCCTGAGGAAATTTCGCTACTTGGTACGAGACATTTGAAGTCACTAGGAATGCGACGAGATAGGTGGGGATCGCAGGACTATAATCGAAGTGTGTCCATATCATTACATCATTAGTGATTTCTCTTTCTCCTAAATCGCTTTTTGGCATATTCGATAAAGCTATACACGACCTATGATGCTTTATATTCATACTAAAGATGGATTTAAATGTCGGCTCATCCCAACATGGAAATATTTGTCGAGCGCCAATTGCTTGGAAAGAGGTTGCCAAAAACCACCTAGCACATTTTGACGGAATATCTTGTATAACGAATATATGTTCAATCATTGCTGTTATTAGATATTGGTATAGAATGTAGAATGTATAAATAAATCTTATGAATAATGGTTTAGAAAATAATATTTTAGTACACCTTATTATAATAATATTATTATATATAATTATCATATTGCATTAATACATGTTTTTTCATTATGGTATATGGCAATTCTTTTGGAGTATATCATATATTAACATACAAATATATAATGTGCAATATGTTTTATATTAACCACCTAGCACATTTTGACGGAATATCTTGTATAACGAATATATGTTCAATCAGCTGTTATTAGATATTGGTATAGAATGGAGAATGTATAAATAAATCTTATGAATAATGGTTTAAAAAATAATATTTTAGTACACCTTATTATAATAATATTATTATATATAATTATCATATTGCATTAATACATGTTTTTTCATTATGGTATATGGCAATTCTTTTGGAGTATATCATATATTAACATACAAATATATAATGTGCAATATGTTTTATATTTTCAGTTCTAAAATGTGCATTAAAAAAAAAAAAAAAAGAAATAATTAGCATTTTTTAATATGCAAAATTGTCTTACACAGATAAATATAACTCAAATTACATGTCTTACGCACAGACATATATATCTCAAATTATGTTTAAATCTTTCAAAGCAAAAATATATTACGCAAGAATAGAAATAGGATAAGATATGATCTTTGAAATCATTGACATATCATGAGAAATATCGACATATTATGATATCGAAAAAAGTTTATATAGAAATAGTAATAAATGATGTTTACATAATGATAAAACAGGCGTATTTTTAACATTTTTAACACACTCAATATTTACTTACGATTCATATCCTTTTTCGTTTACAATGGAAGTTTTGAAAATACTTTCTCCATCATCTAGAATAGTGTCGAACTTCATTTGGAGAATGTAATCTCCTTTTGATACTTCCTTGAAGAAATGAAAGATGAGAATGTGACTTTCATTATTATACGTACTATTCGTTGGAATATAATGATTATATGATCCATTCGTCATAAGAGTAAAGTATTTTATTTTTATTCGTGGTTGTTGTGCGTGCAAACTTATGTTCCACGTTGGTTGTTCTATTCTGATTTGTACAATGCAATCGCCGGAGAAGTTTTTTGCTTCTACATTGGAAAATTGGAAGGTTAGTAAATAATGGGTTGGTTGTATATAATCTGGTAAACGGTGTCCAGTTGTTAAATCTGAATTATTTTCCCAATTGTTGTTGATTAAAGCTGCTGTCTCTCCGATGAATATTAACACGCTGTTTAATAACAGTTTTAAGAACATCATGTCGATTCTCTCGTTATATATATCTGTAAACGTTTCTTTCTTTGTCAAAATGAAATATATAATGAAAAATAAAATAAAACCGAGGCTCTCCTTTTTCCATTATATGTAATTTTGCTAATTAAATTAATTAAATTTAATCGTATGTTTATTGATACTCACAATATAATTTTTGATACACCGGTTGTGCGTATATACCAAACAAATAAACAGTCAATAAAAAGTTGAAACAAAATTAAATTTTAAAATATTACATAAAGTGAGTAAATGACAAGCAATACACAACATATCATACGTCAATCTTTAAGACATGTCATAATATTCCGTGAGTTGTTTCGATAATTACTACATATTAAAAGCAACTGTCTTAGATTCCACTAGCAGAAACTTTTGTTAAGTCTTTAAATTAAATATTAATAGCCAAAGAATGAAATTTTCGTATACAATTCAACATCTTAAAATATTTTTTCTATTAATAGAAAATTTCTATTGCAAAGAATTTTGTCTCTGCCATAACTTAAAAGAATTTTTGGCCAAAATAATGTTCGCAATTTACTAATAAATCGAAAAGAAAGAGGAAAAGGATTTTAAAGAATTTAATTTTGTTTTAAAAGAAATTTTAAATTGAACATAGATTAATCTAATTTAATAGATGTATTTTAATTTTGGAAGATAAGTGCGCTAAATTTATAGCAATTGTTCGCACGCATTCAAAAGATATATTATTGACATACTTTGAAAGTCATACGACCTATGTTCTATCATATGCCTTTCGATACAGTATTATTGTTGATCTTGTGTTATATATATACATGTTATATATACATTTGATCGTTATTATTTAGTGAAATAAAATTTATCCAAATGCTCTTTAAGCAAATCAAATAAAAAATAAATATTAGCGATTATTCTGTTCACACATACATTTTTGTTATATACATTTTTCTTAACAACAAAAATTAGTAGTATCTATTATTATGTTAATAATGTAATTTTAAGAATTATATGCATATGTATATGTTTATATTTACTATACTTTTGTAATTTATAAAACAAAATGTACAAACGCCATTAAATGTTTCTAAGATTATGAAATATTTTTTTTTGTCTCTCTAACGGATTAATAAAATATACAATAATTTAAATTCTTTTAAACAAACAAATTTTTAGATTTGATATTAAATGTCTAAGAGACCAAGGTCATTTTAGCATTTTATTATATTATATGTACGATTTATTATTTCTCATAAAAATTACTTTTAGAAAGAAAACTGTGCTTGTCAAATTTATATTTTATCTAAATTTACATCTTAAAATGATTTAAATTATATTCCTGCATTTTCGGCTTTATTAAAGAGAGATATATAAATGTTTTTTTTTTAGTAACTTACCTTGTATATTGAAATTATCTAGCAATTACGATACAGCTTTTTAAAGTTGATTGTGATTAGCATATTATTATCACGAACTGTTAATAGCGAAAGTATGCATATATAATCACGATCTTACCATTACGACAGACTGCTGAAAATTAACTTTTCCAAAATATCTGACACATTATAAGTAATATTATTAATGTAAACAGATTCCAAGGTTATTTGATTGTTTTTGTAATCCATGAACGTCGAATCAATATATAATAAGGTAGATTTAAATTTTGTCAATTTAATGTAATTTACTTTGCAATGCACGAAAACAATGGAGAAATTGTATTCTGTATTTAAACTTTCTTTTATAAGTACATAGTTTTTTGCTGCTTATATCACGATTTACTGGAAAATATGTGTGGAATTATTATAGAAATATAAAATTAATAATCTTTTTTTCATATATTCTGTAATCAATGTAAATCAAAAGTTTTCTTATACAAAAAATATTAAAACATATAATTTTTGTTTATATTGTTAAATAAATATATTAGTTTAAAGATTATACTGGGTGTAACTAAACAAACGCATATGGACAATACTATCAGATACAGAACAACAATCCAAATCGAAAAGTCCTGAACCATTTTTTGATCTGAGCTTTCTTTTCGTTGTTATATGATGTTAAAGTTAACTAATCAGCGCCTATCTACAACGGAAAACAGAGAAGGTACGACGGGGGTCGGAGTAGAGAGACTGTGTATCTGATAGTGTTGTCCATATGCGTTTGTTTAGTTACACCCTGTATATACATGTCTCCAATAAATTAGACTGAAAAATAGTAATTTTTGATTAATTTCAAGTATACTTTAATACTATGACTCGAAGTTTTCGACAATGTGCGATTGTCAAAGATAAAATTGAAGAAGTACATTATAAATCTTATTTATATTGATACAGAAAAATTTGCTTTCAGTTTGTTCATAAAAACGATGAAAACAAAATGCACTGATTCTAAAATAGTTTTATATTTTATTATAGTTTTTGATATAGTTTTATGACACGATTGAATGTAAAATCTCATGATTTTAGACGAGAAAATTGTATAAGAAATACATAATCATAATGAAGTACTGAAAGAACTTGCATGTGAAAAACAACGCAAATTAATGACACCAAGAATTTGGATTATAAAAATGTATATAAAAGAAATAGTAGTATAAAAAATTATGCTATGCAATTTATTGTAATATAAACTTAACATAACAATATTATAATAATAGTTTTAATATATTCATAGTTTTTATGCCATATATAAAATTATCAATATTAACAAAATTAAATATAAATATTTAATATTATATAATATTAATAATTGCATAAAAATAATAATAACAACATATGATAAATCATTGGTATAAATATTCAGAATAAGAAGCATTTCACAGATTTTTTAAAAACTAGCATTATACATATACGCATACATTTTTTATCATTATTGTGTTAGAAAACTTTTTATAAAAAATATTATTTCTGAGTTGAGATGATACTGAAAATTAATGTATGCAGCACAAATGTCTAGAATAAAGAGCGTTATACAAAACTTTGATCTCTAATAATATGAATAAACATTTGACACAATATTTAGCACTTAAGTTTATATATGCGCATAATATTTGTTTGAATAATTAAAAAGATTAGAGTTACATTATACGATATATTATTAAAGTATTGTGATATCCATAATCTTAAAATAACACATTTAAAATATATCAGAAAAGTTTTTCACTTTTTATTAAATATTAAGTGTAATAAAAGAAATAAAAGGTGAAAAGTATGTGTATGTGTGTATGTTACATAAGTTTCCCGAGAGATAGATGTATTCGTTTAGAGTTAATTTTATAGATATATATATATATATATATATATATATAGACTAATCTTTTTAAAACAAAAAAAATTATGCTAACTTTTGAATTTACAAATTATATACATAAAATACAGTATATTAATGTTATATTAATGTTCTATATCTGTCAAATGATATTTCTTATATATTATTACATCTTTAGAGATAGTGCTACAATCTTTTTGATCAGTTTCGTATTCTACAAAAAACTTATACATAAAAAATGAGCTTAAAAATATTTCGCAAATCCTTTTCATTTTTTAAACATTTATCCAGAAATGAAATAGAACTTCATGATAAAGATTGGATATGTGTATGCATCATGGTTTTTATCATTCATGGATTTAATAAGTTGATAATTCAAGTTTGATTATATTCTCTTCATTCATTGTTTTCCATTTTTTGTAAAATGGAAACGACTTTTCTGACTCTTGATTTGAGATAAGCGTATTTTTATCTTGTGATGGATAAACAAAATTCGTTTTTTCATTAAAGTTCTCACGTACTTATTTATCTGAAACAAATTATCATTAATAAAAGTAGTAATTTCTTTTTCTTTCTATATAAAAATAAAATGCAATATTATTTCTGATTTTTAATACAATTAAGATAAGATATATATATGTTTATAACACATATACAGAGAGAAACAAATAAGTTTAAATATTAAAATGTTAATAAATGAAGGTTTTACATTTATAGAATTTACCTCCGAGTTAATAAAAACCATTTCAGTAATGATTGTTAATTCGCTTTTCATCAAAGTATTTTCTACGAATGATGTTATCTGAAACAGATTATTTTGATATATGTTGTCAAGAATTAGTAATTTAATCTTGTAATATAAAAAATCTATAACATATCTTTTGCATTTAGCATAATTAAAAACAAATTATAATACAAATAAAATATGTAAAATATTTATAAGTAGAGAAGTATATATAATAATGATAAACCGTTTTAAATTTCAATATATTCGATAGCACACTAATTTACCGTATTAAGTACATTCTCAGAATATACGTGATTGATAATATCAATTAACGCTGTAATCGTATTGAATTGTCTATAAAAAAACAAAAAGTTATAATTATATATATGTATAACAAACTTTCTTTTGATATGTTATAAAAGGGGTATGCATTTACGAAGAAAAATATTATTACTTGGGTTTTATATTCATCAAATTCTCTAATATATGGACAAGCATTATTTCATTTCTTGCATGTTTCTCAATAATATTATGAAAATAAAAGATATAATCATTGTGTTGGATTTTTTCTAAATGATCTTTCGGCACTTTTGTTAGCATTTTATGATTCATAACAAATGGATTTTTTGAACAACTAAGAAATTTTAATATTTTCTTATCAAGTTTTTGTGTATATGCTTGCGATACTTTATCCCAAATAGCAGTACTTGCTACAGTCAAACCATTACAATATATCCATTCTTTCCACCATGGTAAGATTCTACAATATTTAAAAAAAAAATCAAGATCTGTTATAAAAATTTAAATTATAATTTGATGTATCTCGTATTATTATATTATCTATTTTGATTATTTGTACATAAAAAATATAGAAAGAGTACAGTTAAAAAAATCATAATTAAATTGTAAAAAAAGTTACTCATTTCTTTCATTATGTCTGAGATATTTATTCAATTTCATTTGGGCTGCGTTCTTGCAATTGAGATGACCGAAAACACATAACCATTTAGCGGCTTCTTGCCGTAAACATTTTGTAAGCTCGTTGTCGATAGGTGTTTCATTGTATGTTATACGCTGAAGAAGTTTATATAAACTTTCTGCTATTTTTTCCTAAAAATTATCAATGTAACATTACGTTACACCGCGATTCGCTCGGCCGAATCTCTAGAGGCAAGCGCGTAAACGTGATGATATACATATATATAATATACATATGTATAATTTTTATTGATAAAAAATATATTATTATTTGCCTTTAAATGATTGATTTCTTCGCTCGAAAATAAAAAGATATTGGACATGTCTTCGAGAGCTTTAAACATAGGATACCATGCCACATAATCTGTCTCATGCGATAGATATTCCGTGAGGTTTAAGAATGTGGATAAATTCATCTGGCCTGTCTTCATGAAGTAATATGCGTCATCGATGATTTGAGCACGATTGAGAACATGTATTTTCTTATATAGCGTAATATTATTCAGGTATCTCGCAATATTTAGCCAATTATTGGTTTCGTAATTAACGCGATAATATCCTGTCACACATAAAATAAATGTTTTAAGTTACTAAATTTTTATGTGTTTGTGTGAAGATTTAGAAAAAAATATTTTTACATATCTGTATCTTTTTTTTCTTTATTTTAAAAAATTGCGCGTTTTATAAATAAGAATGCGAATCTCGTATTATTTACTGCAATACGAATATCATTGATAAAAATCAGTTTTCCCTAAGACTTAACTGCGGAAGAATTCTTAACTATTAAACATAATTTTGACTATATAATTAATGACTAAATTATATTGTACAATACAATATTTATCATATCTGTCATTTACAAGAGAAAAGTTCATTTTTTTTACATATTTTTTATCTAAAGATCTAGTTTAATCTAAAATTTTAAACTTGTTGACTCTGTCACACATAGTTTTTGCATAATTGCATTGTTTTAAAATACGTAAATTTGTAATATAAAGATTTTTCGCAAAATTGCATTTTTGCAAAGCATTGTAAAACTAATAATCAATACTTACCAATTTGTTGTGTATTAACTATTATCCATTCATTCAAGTCGTGCAAAAAATAAAAAGTAGCAATATTCGAGAGAGATATCCAGAATGTGGAAGGTTTGTCCATAGATACTGTAAAGTCAGGTGCTGTCTCCTTAGTTATGGTTACGAGTATGTTCAATTCTTTATCCAAAACTGAACTGTTGATATTTTCTATCGATATTATCAAGTTAGGGTATTGTCTAACCATTAATACAGGATAATGTTCCAGCTTTGTCCAAGGATCCATTTTTTCTTTTATATTTAATACGGATCTACTTTCTTCATCGTAAGCTTTTTGCATAGCCTTCCAAAAATCATCGAGAGTTGTTGATCTAAACTCGATAAATATATAAAATTTTACATTTGTGCTATATTAAATATTGTATAATATATTTTGCATTGAAAAATGTAGAGTTAGCAATAATTTGTGTCTACTAACACATTTTGTGCCATAATTTAATTTTGCATAACTTATCATTTAGTCACTGTGATTTACCAGGAATTCACGTTTTTTATCTATGTGTATAACATATATCAAAATACAAAACGGTTTAAACGAAAGGGTGATTCATCGGTAATTCATGCGGCACAGAACATGTTAATTAATATTTTGATTTATATGTATAATAATTTAGAATTAATTGTAAAATTATAATTATATAATTATATGCAATTCTTTAGATTATTAATTACATTTATTTTTATAATACGTAATTATTGCATTACTCACATAGTAGACATGTTATAAAATATCTCAATGCCATATTGGAACTTCTCATCCGTAAGAATATGTTGCAAAATGCGCAATATAGCAGATGCTACAACAAATCATATTAGAAAGTGCGCTGATTAAATACATTTAAATCGAATTTATTACAGTGTTTACAACATACTTTTCTTCTAGATTATATTTTAAATAAAGATTTATTTTATGTTTTATATATGCACATTTCTTATACATATATAACAACGTTAGAATACTAAAATAGAAAAAAAGCAAATTTATTTATTATTTTTTTCTTTATGATTTTGTGACATTTATGTTTATAAATTTATGGACAAGGCGTTTACATATACACACACATTTATACATATAATTATATTTGTTTGTTCTTACCTTTAATGTGATAGGAAAACGGGAGATGAAAATGAGGATCAGAATCTAAACGGAGAGATTCTTGTTGAATTTGTACCACGAACAGATCCATCATACGGAAATCTGAAAAACTCTGGAGACGGAAATTTTGTTAGCTAAATGATCAACGATATCTTTAATCGGAAAAGCATATAACTTCTGCATATTGTTAGCATTAGCAACAATTAATACTAACTTGTTAGTGTAGAAATAATTTTCTTATATTTTGCTTTAGAGCACTTCGCCATTTGCCGTTTTTTTATTAGATATTTATACGTCAATACTCTTCCATTAGTATAGACAAATATAATAGATGTTAAAATGTCGGATGAAGAAATATCAATAAAGAATCAAGTATCAGATAGAGAAATGACAAACGGCAAAGTAATCTGCTATTCTTATATTTAATTAAGCGAAAAGATAAACAAAATATCTTTACAGTTACACAATAGTTACACATTTGTAACTATTTAAGATTAGATATCGTTAAGATTAATAAAAAAAAAAAACTTGCGAATCTTTCAGTTCAAGCTAAAACGTGCCGTTCTGTCTAAATCATTTTTTGCAAAAGAGCAATATATATATACAGGATGGCCCCAAACGTTCCAGCCAGACTTTGAAATCTGATAGGAAATTTAATTCTGAACAAAAAATTTCCTATAAACATGGGTCGAAAAATGCTTCCTTAAGAAGTTATCGCTCAAAAACCTCTGATGCAAAGGAAGAGCAAAAGGTGATGAAAATAAAATTAATTTTTTTAAACTAAAATAGCACGTAATAGTAGAAAATGAATAAAGACGTGAAAAAGCTAACTGTTCTCAAAATGTCGCCCCCTAGCTTCAATACACTTTCGGCATCGAGTAATGACCGATCTAGCCGCTTTACGGATTTCCTCCTGATTCAACTTTTTGTTAAAAGACGCACATTTTCCATGATATTTGAACAAATGTGTAAAATAATCACGATTTCAGAGGTTTTTGAGCAATAATTTCTAAAGAAAGCATTTTTTGCCCCATGTTTATATGTATATGTATATATATGTGTGTGAGTGTATATATATATATATATATATATATATATGTATATATATTCATATATGTATATATAAAAAATCAACCTTATTAACGATATTTGTTCCGAGTAACATTGCGACACCCTGGTGTAACCAAAAATTAGACGAGGTTGAGTTGATTTGATTATCCAACCATTGATATGTTATTTTGCGAGCTATTAAACGTGCCACCTCTATCTTACGAGCAACGGGATCAAATCGTTCATTATAAATAACAGTTGTTTCTCTAAAAGACGTTGTTAATAGATTTATACTTTTCATTTTAATTGCGTATGTGTTATTATTATGTGTTATTACCTATAAAAAATAAGATTGCATTTGTCCATGTCATATATGTTATATCGAAAGCCTGGGATTACAACATGTTGTATATATGGAACTTTCTTGAAAGTTTCCCAATTTTCAAAGTACGTTGTAATTTTTCGAATAACGTTATTTGCGAACAATAGTTCGTAATATGATGGCGGTTTACACCATAGATTTATATCAGGCATAAAAAAGAAATTGTGCAGTATAAATCCGATACAATAAGTGGGCATTGCGGGAGTTTTGAAATGTGTCCACTGCATCTTATTGTTATCTTTCGTTATTGCTTGTACTGGCATGTTCGACAAAGTTTTATATGAATCATAATGCTTTATAGAAATATTGAATGTCGCTTTTAATATCGGCACGTCCCAACATGGAAATAATTGTCGAGCTGCAAATGTCTGCGTTGCAACTAACCACCTACCACATTTTAATAACATATATTATATAACAAAAAATATGTAATTATTACTGACATTAGAGATTAGTACATAGTGGAAATGTACAGACGCGTTTTATGTGTGTGAATAATGTTTTAAGAATAATTCACAGCAAAAACATTTCAGTGCGCGTACTTTATTATTATAATGTTATTAGTATGTTATATCGACAATTATTATGTTTTTTAACTGTAATAGGTAATAACATTTTTCTAATACGTGTTTTGTATATATAGATATATATACATATATGTATATATGCAAAACATGTTACAAAAATATTATTACATTTTACAATTATTTTGCTTCAGTAAAAGAGATCTCGTCTCTAAAAAATTTATTAGGTGTCTATTAAAAAGATATATTTATACAATTTCTTTCATTAATTGTAAGCTTATATAGTACGCAATTTAAAATGTTGATATATGAATTATGTCGATGGCGATATCAGAAATGACTTATAAAAAACAGTAATAAATGAATATAATAATAAAAGAAATATGTTTTCAGCATTTCTAGTATACTCTCAATCTTTACTTACATTTTCTGTCCATTACCATTTATGTAGAAAGTTTTGAGGAAAACTTCATCATCATCTAAAGAACCGTTAAATGATATATGCAAAGAGTAATATCCGCTTAATATATCCTCTTGAAGAAAAATGTAGAGAGTATCCTTTTTTTTATCGTATTTATGCATTCCGACATAGGTTTTATTTGAGTGTCTTTCGACCAGATATATATATTGTATTTCTATATGTGGTTTTTGTGCGTGTAAAGTTATGAATTCTAATTGAATATCGATCTTGATGTATATAATACATTTGCCAGAAAAGATTTTTGGTTCTACCTCCAAAAATTGTTGTAATTCGATATATATATCATAGTGCAGCGGTGTTACGTCATTTTGTAAGAATGTCATTGGGTCCGGATCATGTTTCACTTCCCTTTCCCTTTCCGTAAAAAATGCTTCTCCAATTATGAATATTAGACCGCTGTTTAATAACAGTCTTAGGAATATCATTCTCTTATCATAGGTATCTACAGAAACATTTTTTATGTTTTGTAAGAGATTAAATTAATTTATATATTTTTGATATATTGGTATATTTACAATATTTTAGAGTTTATTTTGGTTTATATGTAACGATAATCTTATACTATATTTTCGTTATTAGAAAATGTTATTGTATAGAATACAAACAATTATAATCTAGTTATTTTATATGACTCATATATTGTGTGTGTGGGTAAGAGAGAGAGATTCTTATCTACATCTTATATATATATATATATATATATATATATATATATATATATATATATATATATATATATATATATATATATATATATATATATATATATATATATATATATATATATATATATATATATATATATATATATATATATATATATATATATATATATATATATATATATATATATATATATATATATATATATATATATATATATATATATATATATATATATATATATATATATATATTTTTCT